TCAGGCCCGGCCCGGAGGGCGAGACGGGGCTTCGCTCATCTGCGCTGCGGCGAGAGCGGTGCCGTGCACGGGCTGCAGCCGGGCAGTCCCTTGGCATCAGGCGGGAACAACAGAAAATGAAATCTTTCGGAAAGCAGCAGCTTAACCTATGAAATGAAAGGACCCGTTCTTAAAAACGGAATTTTGTTTACTGGAGAGGTCAGGAAACTTGAAGATACACGTAATTATAAAAATACAGGCTTTTTTTTTTTTTTTTTTTTTTTTTTTAAGGAGTCCCAGGGATATTTCTAGTTAAAGAGTTGAGGAGCAACAAGTCAAAACTACATTTAAATTGTGTTTGATTAATGGCAGAGATGACTTCTCTACCTAATTAATAAGCAAATGCAAGCATATTTTTCCTACTGCAACATAAATCTTGGGTTTTCCTTCTGTCACACTGCTCCATAATTTGAAAACCCAGTAAATTAACTGCCATCACAGGATCCGCCTTCTTAACGTTTTAAAAACTTCAAAAAATTTCCACTGCTTCCTTCAATGTGCTCCGAATGCTGGGAGCTGACGGACAAAACCTGAAAATAGTGCAGCGCAAGAGGGTCAAAGCGCTGTATAAAATTAGGTTCTTTTCCTGCCTAAATCCTTCAGTTTTGTAATAGTTTCATTGTGCCCATTTCCAAAGTCTTTTCTGAAAATTACTTTCAAGTACAAGTTTAACACACAGTTGTAAAAGGTTTTTCTTCATAGTAGAGGTAAAGACCTGTTTGGCAGTTCTCAGTTCCAGAAATAACGTCAGCAAACTCCACAGCTTTTGTGGAAGTTTAGAATTTGTATTTTAAATCGGCATCTCTTCTGCAGCTGTAGCATAAATGCTATTGTGCACAAAATACATTTATTGTGCACAAAATACCCTTTTTCAGTCTAAGGCCTTAGAAATAACTACTGCATTTAGTTTCACTTGAGGTAGAATAGTTCAGCTGGAGAAGTACAATGATCATCTAGTCCAACAGTATGTCTTTATGGCATAAAAGAAAAAAAGCTGTGCCTACTGTATGATCTCACTCGCGAGTAATTCAGACACCACACCGCAAATTCTGGTTGAATACAGATGCCACAATTGCTGGTTAAGTCACATGTGTAAAACATAATTATGGGATCCTAAAAATCGACTTCCAAAACCAAAAGACTCCTACTTGATTCAAGGAGAACCTCTACTAATTTCTGTAAGAGGTGGTTGGATCTTCAGCGTCAAGCAAGAAGTGGAGAACACGATTTTATGGTTCTGAGGTTTGAGTCAATTCCACTTTTTACAGATCATGCGATGCAATCATTGGGAGAGAGACCTTCTCCCGAGGTCAGTGGGCATGAGCTATCTGACATACATATTCACAGGGATCTTTAATATTGACTGGAATGTAAGGAAAAATATTTTGGGTTTATGGTTAACCTCAGAAATGAGGTCAGACTCAATCAGGGAACCATATTAAATCAGCCAGGACACAAAGATGACAAACTTCAGAGCTGTCACTACAAGAAACTTACTTCCTACTCCAAGATAACAACTAGTTAATCTAGATTTTCTTTTCTAAAGTAAAGTGAACTATGTACAGCTAATGAAATGCTATTGTTTAGACATAATAGTTGTAATCTAGTGAAAAAAGCTCCTGTAAAAATTTCACTCCTTGATATACTTAAGGTTGATTTGAGAAATTTAGTCCAATAATGAGCGAAAGCAAACTGTAAGAATAAAAGAAATATCCAGGAGGATGAGAGAAAGTATGTCCATGAAGATATGGGAAGGGAAATTGAATGCAATAGTTTTAAAATTAAAATCAAATGGATAATTCATTAGCATCGAATGAGTGATAATTTAACTCCAGTCTCTTAGAAGTGTTGGTCACAGCCATGTTCTTGACAGTGTACATGTCATGGGTGTACATGAACCCAAATCATCGTCACAAGAAGTCTCAGCAAAAAAATGAATGGCATAAAGTTAGAAGAATGTTCCTTTTTCAAATCTGGTAAAGGTTCCTCTAAGGTATCGCAGACGAAAGGGAGGAGTTGGCCATTCAGTTTAAAAGAAAAAACATTCCCATTTTTTTAAACTGCAAACATCATCCTTCGACTCATGAAGCTGACAAAAAGATTAAAAACCTCAGAAGCATCAGTGTCTATTCGGCTGAAATTTCAAGTCTCTGTAGGAACAGTACATTTAATGTAATGTTTATCTTAGAAGATAAGGGGCTGTTTGATTAATGTTATCAGTCAATCAGTATACGAGCTGTGATTTCCTTTGACTGGTTTTCATCCCTGCATCTTGAATACTCAGAGGAAACTTCTTCTGGAAGTAAGCCTTGAAGTAAATTGTCCTCATTTTCCACTGAGATCTGAATTTCAGTTTCTTTTTTCCAGGGGTTTTCTTCTTTCAGAAGGGGAATTTCTTCCCCTGTTGGGGAGGGTTTCCATAGTCCGTACTAGTTGACCTAGGCTGTTCTGGGAACTGGGAACTGCATCGGGACTACGTACTTTAACAATACAAGTCACATTCACCTGCGTTCCTCTGTTACCAGAATGTTCTGTCAAATAAACAGAAAACACATTAAACATGGAAGAATGAAACCTAGAACAGGGCAGTTAGTTTCCCTATCCAGTTAATTGCCTTAAAATAGACACTAAATATTTTCTTGTTTCACTTAATTTAGATAAGATGGTGGAGGTGGTTCTGTAACATTTTAGGGGGGTTTTGGCCCCATACAATCCACATATCATCCCAGAAATAAAAAAGCCATAAAAATCAATACAGAGCCCTGGATCACAGCCAACTCCCCACCCATCTGTTGCCATTTTAGCTGTTTTTGACAATGTTCTCACTGCTCCCTTTGGCTCTTACTCCCATGCACAGGTAAGCACCTACCATCACACTGCTTCCCTAGTCCACGAATAACTTTCTCTCCATTGAGCACACTCTCATTACAGTCTCAGGCTGACAACTTAATTAATCGCTTTTTCTTTTCAAAAGTCACTCTCTGCTGAACATGGGTCTGATGTTTTAGCCTGCCATTTAAATTTCTGCTAAAAAGACTCAGAATTGATAATCAAATTTCCAGAGGCTCTGGATCATTCTGAGACATTCTTACCTGAACTTGCAGCATTGTGTCTGTCTCCAGTGTGAACGTTACAACCTTCCGCAGCTGAATGTTGCTGCTGAAATCCTTTTGTTTCTTTCTTTTCATTGTTCTTGTTACTTACCACACTGATTCTCGCAGACTCAGTTGGATTATTCAGGGAGCTACTGTGGGACCCAGACATTTCCAAGAGATACTGTTCCTCCTGTTCAGAACTGCTGGAGTTTTGCGATCCTGTACATACTATATATACTTTCTTGTCACACTGCTTTTCTGTAGGGGAAAAAGGCTGGAACATTTGCAGAGAAATACATTAATCTTTTTAAAAAACACTAACAAAGAACTAGTCAGTACTTAGGCAGCTAAAGAAACCACTAATAATAGCCATTTGCATAGCGATGACTGTAAGTAGAATTCAGACCAGCTCATTAGGCATTCAACAAAATGAACCTGTCTCCTGAAGGCACCTACAGTACTTCATTGATTGCCTAGGGAACAAAGGCTCTAAAATCTGGTCCTCCAAATACACACTTGTGTTTTGTTGCTAATATAGCCTAACATAAAGCGAGGGTGGTACATTATGTAGGCTGTGTAAGGTACACCTTACACTCCAACTTGGGGACCAAACCACCTCATTCTCACTGCAGTTGTCTGTCTTCTGCTGCGCCATTTTCTTCTACTTGTAATTAAATAAGACTGCATTATTTCTATACAACTTTTAAAGCAATGGAAAAGATGGGAAGGAAGGAGTGACACTCACCAAATCTGCTTCAGAAGTCGTTGGAGAATATACAAGGGCTGCAAGTGAGCGAAGACAGTTCATTACCACCTAAATTTGTTTCAGTTGCAAAAGCTGCTCTCTTAACTAGTCTGAATGGTATCCTCCAGTCCTGGAATAATCTCCAAATGTACATTTATTATACACTGTTTGAAAATGTTGAAAGCTATATTGTATTAATTCTGTAAGGTGCCTTAAATTTAGCCAGCAAGCAAAAAGGACCCTCTGCATGAATTAATTATTTTTCTATACTGTCAGTGAGAAAAGGTATTGATGACAATAAACTACAGTTGTGACTGTTTAATGATAACATTTGATAATCTCTAATATTTAAATGATGAAGTACAAAATATTGTACAAACTCCAGTAGGAACACAACTGTTGTACAGTTGTCCAACTCCACTGGGATGTTGTATGTTTGGACAATTATCTAAAATCTGAGGAACAAGAGAGATTTGAATGGGACATTTGCCTCACTGTATCCCTGTATTAAGATTAATTTCACCCCATGTGATTTAATAATTTCACCCCAATGTAACAGAGGAATGGTGTCAAAAGCTCCTTAGGGTTTCATGAAGCTACAGGTTGCCAGCTAGTGAGGCAGCAACCTGTAAATCATCACCTTGTCTGCTTGAAAAAAACATAAACTCATCCATTATTAGACACCAAAGAATCTACAGGTTAGTGACACTTTGGCCATGAGAAAAGCTTCAAAGAGAGCTAGCATCTTCAGAGACGCTAATGTAAGTCAACCATTAGGCTCAAACTAGTAGGAAATAAGGTGACGCTCTTTCCAATCTTTACAGATCTGCTTGTTTTCACTTCATGAATCTTACCTTTTTTTTTGGAGACTAAGCAATACCCCAAAAATAGTGATTATCAGGACCAATAACAATGGTCCTACTACTGATCCCGAAAATAAATTTAAAAGAAAAATTATTTAGCAGGTTGATCTGACAAAGGATCTAATTAGAAAGAGATAGTTTTATAGTTTCTGTCCATGGCTACAAAAGCTAAATTTACAAGCACCAAGTGCATCTGACATTCATATTTAGTGCTTCTATTATCAGATACCAGGGTCTCATTTCAGTCTCCACCACTTCATAAGATTGACTCTTCCTGTCCTGAAAAGCAAGGACAGACTTTTGGCCTCAGTCACAAAAAACACCTCTCTAGACTAGCAACAGTTTGTTAAATGCAAGGCCAGGCAGTCCAGAATGCTCCTAAACATATATGCCTTCTGAATAGGTTGTGAACAGGAAAGAATACTTCCATACATCCATGCTTGTGAATGCTTTTAGGATTTCCTGTCTTGGGAAAGGCTGCCAGAAGACTCCAAAGACCTCTCATCATAAGGTTTACAAAGTCAAGCTTGCCTCAGTCCAGAATCTAAAATACAACCTTTTCTACCAGCTCCTTCATAGTAGCAATTCTCAGGAAATGCCTTGTATAATCTAGTTTTGAGATTTTTAGAAAAATTTCCAGAATTACAAGGACTGTAGAATGCACTGGGGTAGCTCAGATGCATAGGTAAATATTATGCAACTCACTACAACCAGTGTCATATTGAATTAATTCAGCTGTTCTGAGGTTCTGCTTGGGTACAGGTAATTGGTCTTGGAAAGAAACTGAGAACTAAAGATAAACTTGCTTCCTAGCCAGACAAAAATGACTTAAAATGAGTTAATAGCTCACCAATGATGTGAGACATGTCAGATACAGAGTTTAAAATGAAGGTCGAGTTATTATTTCAGGTTTGTTGGAAGCTGAGCTGGGTCAGGAGCAGGTTCAAAACAGTAGGACCAAGAACTGTGGCAGCTGCTGTTGCTGAGTCACTGCAAACAGTGTCATTCATGCTGTTCCCAGGAACAGCCACTGATTTACAACTACAAGGAAACAAAAAGAGAAGTTAGGAAAGAAAGCAACCCTGTGCACAGTTAAGATTGCTATTAGATAGAAACACTGGCTTACACTGTATGTGGTATACAGCTGGTATCGTAAGATTCCTCATGTGAAAAAGTGCCAGGAGGACAAGGTTTACATTCTGTGTCTGTGCTATCTGTTCCTTTAAACAAATAGAAAAACTCCAGTTAGTCATCTGGTGAGAAACAAGAATGAATAATCAAGGTCTGCGGTACAGATCCTGGAAGTGATACAGAGGCCATAGACAAAATACAGTCTTTAACTGTCATAGAAGAGATTAATTTGAAACACCCAACCCAAACACAAATCAGAAGATTAATTGTCTGTTAGTTTGGTGCCCTTGATAGTCTTTTTCAAAGACTGTAAAAACCCACCAAAAGGTTAAAATGTGGTACTGCAGGCCTTTTCACTCATCCCTGACAGGCTCACCACCTATTCCATTCTTTTGGAGTTCTGTATCTTTCCAACTGATTCTTAATTTATTAAAAATATTAAGTGTTCCACCTCTTTGAATATTATTTATTATCTTGAGACAGCTACATTATCAGAGTGGTGACTTTCATCATCTAATAAACAGATCAATTCTGCAGGACAGCATAGTCTCATCATTACTTACTGTAACCAAAATTCAACCTGAGGCCCTGTTTCAAGGATTTAAACAGGAATAAAGTGTTCTTGAATCTGAGTCACTTGCATGGAAGGAATCACACAGCAGAGCAAAATAAAGGAAGATTAAGTTGGACTGGGGAACTTTATGATATATGGTAGTAACAGATTGCAACATGTCCATTTGGATGTGCCTCTTGAGAATACTGTTGCTGTAGTTACTGCCAACTTGCTAAGACAATGCTTGCACTAAAAAGAATGCATTACTGTAGGGAATTAAAAGACAATATTTCTGTAACTTACTGAGTTGGAGGCAGAGTCAGAAATATTAATGTACTATTAATGCAAAAAATAACCCTCAATACAGTAAGACTATTTTGTATATATAGTGTTCAGAATTAAATTACCTCTTCTGGAAACTTGGTAACCTTTTCCACATTTTTTATGCACTTTGCATATTTGGCAGTACTCGTATATTTTTGAAATGCAGTATTTATTGGGTGGGCAGCTACAGATTCTGTCCTGTGATGCAGTGCATGTTTGATTCTGCACAAATCCTGGTTTTAAAACAAGAATAAAGAAAGATGTCATTAGCAACATTTAAAATCATAGCCTGCAATGTGTCAAGTGAGTATGAGGTAATGTTTGTATACCACAAACTGAAGATAATTTTGCAGCTTCTGGCTACACCATCATAAAACATACACGTTATATGCCCCAACATCTACATTTTCGTAAGAGTTTCCTCTCTCTCTCCAGGAAAGGAGAAATTTGCATCTGTAGAATTCACACTTGAAACTCTGTACCTGCAGTTGCATTGTATTGTATCATTATCATAAATACGTACATTTGTGTTACCTGTGCTCATCACTACAGTATTGTGGGGCCAAACTAAGATTTGTAGTCTATGCAGATCATGCAACTGTATTTAAAGTGATTGGAGACCTTACTACAGACATTTCATATTGTAATTAACCAGCTAAGTAGGATTATCCATTTAGATGAGACCAAAGGTCCTTTGAACAACTGTACCCTTAACACTTAATTGCCAGTGAGTCAAGTAGATAATTTTCTACACCAGTTTCCATTAGAAATGGAACAGTATGCCTGAATTTGTTAATGCATGTGATCTATTAGACCAATGTACAGACATTAGTACAGTGTACTACTTTATATACTGTTAAGCTGCTTTAACGAACTGAACCAGCATGCTCTCACTGACTATGCTGCTTTGCAAAAGAAATAAAACCAATATAGGAATATCACAACTGGTGTTTGCTGTTGTCAATTCAGCAGACATACTGAGGAATGACTGGATGCTGGAAATGTAATTAACCATTCACTCCTGTGCAAGTCAAGCCTTAAGCTCCTTTGGCTGGAGAGTATAAGCCGGAAGTTACAGTACTGATGACATTTATACCTATTTTAGTGATGCAGTGCCTTAGTTTCCAAGAATATAAGATTGATGTTACATTTTCAGGACTTAGAAAGAAAAAGGGGTAAGGCCCCCTCCAAGACTTCCCTGATTCTTTTCCCAAAATCTTTACCCAAAGCATAAGAATGGGACTATACAAGTGATAAACAAAACCTCCTAGTTTTTGCAGGAGAAGAGACTAGGTTAAACCAAGCCCACCCTTTGAGCAGGCTGTTAAAGTCACAAATGCCTCTTTAATAATTCAAGCTTACCTTTCCTGCAGGGTGGTGAGCAGGCAAAGCACTGGGGAGACCGATTCCAAATTGCTGTGTACGTGTTAAGGCTACAGGGACTGCACTTCGTGTCCACACTGTGACTGCAGCTCGCTGTCTTATACTGACCTATTAAAAAAAAAACAACAAAGCAGCAAAACAAAGGAAGCATCTCATTAGAAAAGATCACTAGGAATTGTTTAAGCTAAGTTTCATTCTTAGCTGTAGAAACCCTTTCCCTTCAGTGCCACGATCAGATTAGTAATGTATACCAAGGAAGTATTGATTTAAAGGAGTACTGCATGTATATCTACAGGGGAACTCTGATTTCTTTTATGTTATTTTTGTTTGACTCCTTCTACTACATTCATTTCAGTGAATTCCAGCCATGTTAAAAAAAAAAAAAGCAGCCTCAATCCTGAACTAAATCCCTCAGCATATGCTTAGATGCAGCTTCCCAGCACATAATTCGTGTCCACACTGTGACTGCAGCTCGCTGTCTTATACTGACCTATTAAAAAAAAAACAACAAAGCAGCAAAACAAAGGAAGCATCTCATTAGAAAAGATCACTAGGAATTGTTTAAGCTAAGTTTCATTCTTAGCTGTAGAAACCCTTTCCCTTCAGTGCCACGATCAGATTAGTAATGTATACCAAGGAAGTATTGATTTAAAGGAGTACTGCATGTATATCTACAGGGGAACTCTGATTTCTTTTATGTTATTTTTGTTTGACTCCTTCTACTACATTCATTTCAGTGAATTCCAGCCATGTTAAAAAAAAAAAAAAGCAGCCTCAATCCTGAACTAAATCCCTCAGCATATGCTTAGATGCAGCTTCCACAGCACATAAACCAAACTTTTAATCCTCATAGAAGCTGTGTTTTGTGGTGAAACACAGGATGATGTTTCACACTGAAAGTCAGGCACATGCTAGAAAGATATGTCTGGGTGAGGCCCTTACTACTTTTAGAAGCAGCAAGTGAAGAAAGCGTAATAAAGAATCACCAGAAACAAACCTGAATTAGAACTTCACCACTTGTTACTACTGAAGGGATGTGAGCTTACTTTTTTTCCTTCACCTCTTCAGCCAGCCCTAACATTGTCAGCCAGCCCCAACAGATCAAAGCAACGCGTTTCTGAAGCTACTGGCATTCCAGACAAAATCAAAAGCTATCAAAGGTAGTTTCTCCAATGCTTCTCACCAACAACAGAGTTCAGTGCAGTGGTGGGAATAAGCAAACATGACCTCCAACATATTCTTTCTGGAGAAGGGAAAACACCTCAGTTGCCATTTCCCCCTTGCTTGAAAGCAGGAAGAAGATAAAAGTCAATGTCTCATATCCTGTACAGAAATATCCTGGAAAATATACTCAGAACGCAGGAGTAACACTGAGAAAGCCTTTGGAGCTGCTTGGAGAATTTCTGCTCTCCAAAAGAAGAGGCCCTGGAGGTGAGCCATAGAAATTATGTCCAAAGACTTTGTTTTTCCACGTACTTTCCTGAACCTTAAAATTCTGCCTCCCACATCCTCTTAATGATTTAGGCTTGGATTTTTGGTAAATTATGGTAAAAAAAAATACAAATTCATAATAACAAAAAAATCAAGATTTTAGACTTCCTACAACTTGGTGCCCAGAGTTTGTTCTTGTGAAAAATTAGAATTAAGGAGAAATAGACTGAACAGTACATACCACAACAGAAAAAGGTTTTACCTATGAATGATCATCTTTCATCTGTTGTGTTTTTGACAACGGAAGCCTGACATATCTATCTAGACATTTTCGGTTAATTCAAGCAACTGTGGCTTCTTCAGCATATACTGATTTCCTGTTTCAACTTCCATATCTCTCTGACAGGAAGTCAGCATTTACGGAGACAAATTTTGTTTGCTCAGCATGTAATAAGACAAATAGGCAGTTTTTTTGCTGTGTCTAACTAATGTAATAACGTAATGACAACTTATTGCAAAAACTCTATTATTAAACTACCCAAACAGCATTACTACCCCCCAAAAAATCCAAACCCACACATCTACCTCTCTGCAGTCAACAACGTTTGCTAACAAAAGATCACTAATAATTATGGCTGGAGTTTAAGATGTGACACCTCAGAGCAGTTTCTGTAGTCTTGTATCCAGTCCCTGATAGTGGTCTGCAGTTTCTGATTTACAGTAAAAGACAACAACATTCCCTTAATGAGCAATTATATATTAACGTGGCCAATGGAAAGCCCCTTATATAAGTGATATTATCAAAGTACAGACACTAAGATCTACCTCATGCCCTGTTTTACAATATATTTGTCATTAGTGGGCTTGGGTCTGACCTGTTGTCTCATTTTTGTAATTCCCTTAGTGAGCTGTTGCTCCCTCCCCCAAATGTTGACTTAAAAATACTTTAATCAAAACACCATGCAAAGCTGTGCTTACAAGAGCTCAGCAGCCTACCTCCTGATGAGCCCCAGCCACATTAACCTTGTAACAGAATTCCTATTCTGATGAACAGCGTGTCTCTTTTGCAGGTATTTTTACAGTCACAGCATTTTACTGTCTTCCAGCTAGACAGCAGCAAAAAGTCAAAGCTCTTAAGACGTAAAAATAATCAAAAAGTAGTATGTTCATGTGAAAATTGACTTAATTTGGCTGTGTAAAGTAACAGTTTGAATTATAACCTACCTGGAGGGCACTGGCTGCAACATTTATTAAGTTCTTCTTCATAGAATTCAGTGCTGGGATCTTTGCATTTTGCAAACTGTGGTGTATAAGGCAATGAATAGTTCTAGGAGAAATTAAAGGAAAATCATGAGTCACAAGTCCATTCTGACCCTAGAGTAGAGATTCAACAGACAAACACTTAAAAGATCAGTGCAATTATAACCACCTTCCTTTCCAAGATGCTGATGTAGGCCTGATGAAACAAAGCAGCAGATGCTCAAAAGTTGAAGGAGAATGCACAGCTTATAAGCTACTTCGGACCATTTAGAGATTCCTCTGTTTTTCAAAGATCTGTCACAATGAACGAAGTGATTTCTCCAGGTTTTACGTTCAAAGGATGCAATAGGACATTAGCATCACTACCACATCCCCTAAACCAAAGGGCTAAGTACCTATATTCTCAGTTGCCATGATTCAGACAACCTTTGAAAAAACACCGATGAAATCTAATTTCTAACCTGTGGGTTTGTGGGGAGAAGCATTTTCTGCAAAGAGGCTATGTTAAAAATTACAGCTTCTTACTTAGTAGGTCTACGTCCTATACACATTTAGAGCCCTATCTGAAAACTGGAAGATTGACTTTGCTACTTATTAATTCCTTCAGGTCCCCTGAGCCAGTGGAAGAGGGAGCTGTGGGTCTAGCACTACTGCAATGCTTGAAGGAATCTTTCTGTTTTCATCAATGGGTGCAAAGGACACAGAACATCAAGTTCAATTCTCTATTGTGCTTACGTTCATTGTGCACCCACGCAATAGCCAGGCAAGATAACTCGTCCCTTCAGTCAAAGAACCTGTGCTATTAGAACTGTTTCACCAAAGGAAAGGAAAAAAGGCTTCTATCATTCCAGATACTTTGTGATTCCTTTCTGAATGAGAAAGGCCTTGATGTTTTGAAAACGATGTCTCCAAAAACTGCACTGGTGCTTCTGAAAAGGAGCAACTGGCTACAAGACTTAAATAAAAATAAAAAAATAAAAACCCTACCTCATATGGCAGGTCAAATGTGTAAGATATGGTCATGAAATACAGTGTACATAATTTTCAGCTCATACCAATCAAGACAGCTCAGTGACTTCAATGAACAAGTGTCAAAATATTTAAGGACCTGCCATCTGTTTTCAAAAGGAAAAATACACTCACTCAAAAGAAAAAGACTAATGTTAGGTCGTACAAGTGTAGGAGTTTCCTGCTAAATCAGAAAGATGCTGTTCAAAAAGTATGTGACACTGCTCAATTTTGTGGAGTCTGAAGAGATTGCTCCATTACATTCATCTACACACATTTAGAGAAGTACTTTAGAAGTATTATTAAAAGAGAAATCAAAACAGGAACAGGCTCTTTGGAGGCCGGTAATGAAAATATCCTTCCTCCTTACTGAAAAAACATGTTGATCATCTATTGTGTCTTCACATTACTGACAAAGTAGACTAACATTCCCACTCTCACCAATTACTTAAAGCAAACCAAACATTTTCTTATGCAGCTTGTTGAAATATTTTACCTCTTATTTAGCTGTATATCAGAAACAACATTTCACCCATCTACTCAATCATCAGTGCCAAAAATAACCTTTCCTGAGCATGCGAAGGCAGAGAAAGGCCTTCTTGAGTGCCAATATTCATTTCAGAAAAGAAAAAAGGAAAGCAAACTATTTAAGCAGAAGTTTCATCACTCCTGTTTAAAACACTGTGAAAGCTGGTAACGCTGACCAGACATCAGGACAATTCTAATCTCTTCTGATTAGTCAGTTGAGTTAAAGACTCAAAACCAGGGAGACTGGGGATGGGTTTCAGTACATTCTCTCACAGCCAGATCAAGGAGAAACAGCCAAGTTGCAAACTGAAGAACAAACTTGTAAAGATGCTTTTAACATGATAGAAACTGTGATGGGGTGCAGAAGGATGAAAAAAAAAAAAAAAGACATTCTCCTCCTTAAACACTAGATAAAGCAGGTGAAGAAGGGAACAGCTGCTGAGCACAAGCTGCATTTTTCAATTTCTGCTCTTTATCTTTTGATGAGAAGAAAGCCAGTTTTGAAGAAACCATGCTGCAGCCTCGAGTATCTCCAAAGTCTATTTTGGCCTCCATTTTTGCTTTTCAGTTAAGAAGGCTTATTTAAAGGGGGCTTGTACGAAGATTCAACTTTGAAGCAGAATCAGGAGGCTGGCTTCAGCATTATCAGTTTCATCATTATCAATGAAAATAATAACCACAACAATGCAAAAACAAACCCAAAGCTTTTCAGTACCTTCTAGGTTCAGTAATAACTGTTAATGCTAGACTTGGTATTATACCCTCATAGCATGGGCAATGATAAACCATACCATTTGCAAATGGGAGCTGACACTAAAATCCGATGAAGGAGAAGAAAAGGGCTCAGCTCTCAAAAGTATTTTTTGTTTAAGTTACTTTCTTGTTTATTAAAAGAAGAACGATCAAGTGCTGTCACATTTTTGTAGTCACCATGACCAAATTCATTGAAACAAGCACTTGGGAGTCTGTTTAAAACATAAAACTTCACTGCAAGAAGTGCACAGGAAAAAAAAAAAAAAAAAAGGGAAATAACGGAAAACACATCAAAAATTATCCTGGC